TGTGTGTAGAAAGAAATACTGAAAATTAATAAACACACATTTCAGAGAATATGGGATATATTAAACAGCGTTATTAAAAATAGTTGTGAACAGCACAAGGAGTTCTATATCTTACTGACAACTACATCATAAAGGATGATGGTGCTGACGTGGTTTTAACAGTTTGTAAACGCTGGATCAAATCTGTCCTGAGCTCCTGAAGACTGGGATCAAAGCCAGATAGAAACAAGTGTAAATACAGTAAAGCCACTGAGTTTAATGATATAGGTGTGTGTGTGTGTGTGTGTGTGTGTGTGTGTGTGTGTGTGTGTGTGTGTGTGTGGCATCTTGTTAAACCAGGTATAACAATCCTGAGAAGCTGCTGGAGACCAAGAGAGGGCGCTGTGGGGAATGGGCCAACTGTTTCACCCTGTGCTGCAGGGCTGTTGGCCTTGAGGCCAGGTACATCTGGGACAGCACAGGTATAAACGTCATTGGACACCTTTTCTGCTTCTCCGCTCAAAGAGGAAAGATGTCAGGTTACTCTGCTCTGTCGTGCTCTTACATTTCTCAGCGTCACTGCTTCACACAGACTGTTTAACTTGAGTTTGTATCATTAAAGTAACCTGAAAGATGAGCTTCAGTGTGTATGTTGACAGGCTCATACCTGCTTGTAAGAAAACGTTATCACATCTCCTAAGAGTCCTGCGTGATCTGCTGGTGCACACGTGTGTAAATGTCGTGTTCCCTGTGCTGTTTCAGACCACGTGTGGACAGAGATTTACTCCGTCGCTCAGCGCCGATGGCTACACTGCGATCCATGTGAGAATATCTGTGATAAGCCTCTTCTGTATGAGGTCGGTTGGGGGAAGAAATTGGCCTATGTTCTGGGTTTCTCCAAGGACCAGGTACAAGAAATGGACACATGCTCGTACTGTTGTAACTTGTCCTACTATTGTGTTATTATTTAACACGAATGCTGTTATCTGCACTTTCTCACTTTGTGTTGAGGTGTAGATGTTTCTGTGTTTACTGCTGTTTACATATCGACTCCCCCTCAAAGTCAAAGTTGAGTTAAGTGTGTATCTGAGAGCAGCTCAGATAATTACAGCTGGTTGTTTGAACACTTGTGTATTTGTGCTGTAGGTGGTTGATGTGACATGGAGGTATTCCTGCAATCATCCAGAGGTTGTGTTGAGAAGGACCAGGGTTCAGGAGGCCTGGCTGCTGCACACCATTAACAGGGTCTCTGCAGTGGTGAGACGAACTCATTTAACAGACTAATTACTGCGGTGTCTCTGGTGTGAAGCACTCACCTGCGGCTCTGTCACTACAGCGGCAGCAGTTCCTGAGTCCAGAGAGGAAGAAGGAACTGACAGAGAGGCTGCTGGTCGAGTTGGTGGAGTTCATCTCTCCGAAGAAACCTAAAGCAGGAGAGCTGGGCGGGCGCAACTCTGGCTCTCTGGCCTGGAGAATAGCTCGGGGAGAGACCGGAGCGAGCGATGAAGAAACCCCCACAAAGGTACCGTACAGCAAAAGATGGCCTCTGGCATCTGTTTGAGCAGACGTTTAAACAGGCTTCTTGTTATCAGCAATATACGAAATATCCCTTTGATCCTGCTGTAGCTGTGGCATCAGCATGTACAGAAAATGAGTAGATTCACCGTTTGGAAGTGTACTTGACTGTCTGCAGAAAAACACGTGTTTTCTTTCCAGGCTGTAGGTTTTGTGTTCACTCCGACTGACAAAGAGAAGAGTGACAAGATGCTCCACATACGCTACAGCGCCTCCAAAGACCAGTACTGCCGAGTGTCCAACGGCTCTGAAATGATCCAGAGCTGGCCTCGGTGCGCGTGGAGCTCGGAGTCGATTTTCAGAAAGGTGGAACAGGATTGGCAGATGGTATGTTTGTTTTTGTTTGATAGCCGTGTCGTTATCTTTTACTTTTTTTTTTTTTTGTTTTTTCTTTTTCAGGGGTTAGTTGACCGGTTGTTGTTTTCTTTTTTTAATTGGCCGTTGCCCCCCTTCGGTTTGATTTTATTGTGTTTATTTTATTTTGCATAGCATAGTGTTGTTTTTTTTTTCCTGTGAGGTGTGCTCTTGTTTTTTGTGAGCTTCTTTTTTATATTCTATAATTTTTAATAACAGTAGGTGTGGAAATGTCTCTTAATGCAAAATAAAGCAAATGCATTGAGTGACCGTGGCAAGAAAATCTGGATGTCCACAGAGTGGATGTGATTGCATTTCTTTAGGCGTACCTGGCTCGCACAGAAGGCTCTCCTGCAGGAAGAATCAGCTGGAAGTTTGACTTTGCTCCAGTAGGAATGAAGATCAAGTCCGTCTCCATCATGGCCAGCAGCCAGACCTACCACTCTGGGAAAGTCTGCTGGCATTTGCGCTCGGGCCCGTTTTCTGCAGAGTTCCCCGGAGGTATCAGTATTTACTCTGAAATACTCAACATCCTGTTTTGTGTTGCCGTGAAACCACCTGACTTCCTCCCCCACCTTTGAACTCTTAGATGGCAGTGCGCAGTCCTTTTCCAATCTGTGTGGCTCTTCAGAGTTCATCGTTGCAGCGGAAGTGAGCGGGGGCACGGGGGAAACGGCGTGGCAGCATTCTCAGCTGTTCAGACAGAGCTTGAAGGAGACGGAGGAGTCTACGTTTGAAGTCATCGTTCATCTTCAAGATGTTGCAAGACGCTTATTTTATTAAATACGTGATCACTCTGACGTGCTCAGAGCTGTTTGGGTTGTAGTTTCAGTGCAATATAGAATTCCTCAGGATGATTGAACATGCATGGCCTAATGATGGACTCATTAAGATATGACTTTCATTCCTGTCACACGATTTAATCTCTTACTTTGACTGAAGGCCATTTAACATGAGACTTGCACAGTTTTAACCATAAAGCCATATAGTTTTGCAATGTTTCCCTCCACTGTAAATGTGTTTGCAATTTGTAGTAAGTGGAGTCACATTCTGTTCTGTTAGGGTCCGAGTACTGCAGGTCTGTTGTTACTAATAAACTGTTTGATGTTAAATCTGCAAATTAAAAATGGGCTGTTTACCTACAATATTCAGTTATGTGTCAGATAGTACATTTAATAATGCTGTGTTGCTCTCGTGGTAAGATTTGAATGAAAGAAAACACGTGAGGACGCGTGGTAACCCCGGAGTAAAGGTAAAACAACGTATTCGTAGCACTAATAATATTACGCTGCCTGCTGTGACGAAGCTCCAACGGACTTTTGCCGCCATCTTGTGTTGAAAAAAGGAGGAAGGGTTACTATAAATTGACCTGTCCTATTGGTTGAAACGCCGGTGCGTTTGAAAAGCTTACACCTGATTGGTCGGCTTATCTACGAGACGGTTCGGCGTATATCTTGCAGATGGCGGAGCCGGACAGCGGTAGCTGCGGTTAGCTAGTACAGGCTTTATGTGTAAATGCAAAGTGTTTAATTAAATCAATTTTCAGAGCGTTTCAGATAAACTGCGCTTTTATTATGTTTCATTTTCACGTGAAATTGTAAACATATTTAATGCGTGACTTTTGTACAGTATTTATTTGAAAGCCTGTAGCCGGTTAGCATCTTTGTTGGAAGTTTAGGCCTACTGTGCCAGCGCTTGTCGATTTTAACAATAGCTGCGATACGCTCCAATCGTCTGCCTGTTTCGTTGCATTTTTAAGAGTTATCTTTTAAACGACCCAAAAAAGACATGGGATATAGACTGGTCTGGGTGTGTTTTAGCAAGTAAGACATTTTGTTATGTAGACGGACTTTGACTTGGACGGGAACTAAGACCTTTTGCGAGCTAGAAAAAAAAATAACAATCACAAAGGAAGATGTCCAACGGCGCTACAGGAAGCGGGGATCTGGCTTGGATGGTAAGTTTGTTTGGCACACGAGTAACGAACTTGGCTAAAAATAAAATAATTAATTTTTTTTAAGTAATAGCGCTATCGCAATACTTTACAGTGTTGTTTCAACCCAAGGGCAGCGCGAACCTCGACTATTGCCTCTCGATGGCATTTAAATTTCATCGCCAGCCGGTGTATTTGTTCTGCTGGCTATTCATACAGTTGTTAAGGATGAGACATCTACAGTCTGTTTTTAAATTCTAACTCGGCTACAAAGCAGTGAACTGGGTTGAGTCTTGTAGACGTGAAGGGCCGTGAGGTCAAACGCGACATTCATCCTTTTCTTTTTGTGCCCTGATGGTTCCTTGTTTATGTCTTCAAGCGAAAGTTGGAAGAAGCGTCTCATCGAGACTGGTTTACGTGACTGTTTGTACCACTACATGTACGGCTAATACGTGATGACAAATGCAGTAGGAGATGTATTGAAAATGATCAGGAATTGCGAGCCAGCACTTCACACTAGAGTTGTGCGGTGATCAGACCGCTCTCTGCCCTTCGTCAGTCTGACCTATTCACACCGACCGTCTGCTGTGCAGCTGCATTTAAACTTCTCTGCAGCATTAACATTGTTTTAATATCCGACTTTTGCTGTATGAGTACTACTGTAAGTAATACTGTAGCAACAGATTTGAACTAAAGTATTTAAAAATGCAGATGTTTACATGCGCTTCAAAAATCCTGTAACACAACAGTTACCTGCTGTTGATACGAATAATTAGTTACTTCAAGCACTGCAGTGACGAGGTGACTGTAATTAATGCTTTTCAAATCCAGGTCTGTGTTTACATTCCGTACCATTAGACTTCCTGTATGAGTATATTTTACTAATAGGCTGAACTTGAATCTTAGCATTTATCAAAGTGACCGGTTATCATCTGTTGTTTAAGCCTGTTGAATTTATTAACTTTTTAAAATAAGGTGAATATTTTTTTTTCTGAGATCAACCCCCACCCCCTTGTTGTTGGGGTTTCCTGCTTGTTAGTGTATGAGAATATATTTATTATAATATCATCAATTAATATATATTAAAGCGTATATAATACTATGAGCATAGTTATATTTATCACTTCATGACCAAAACATATGATTATGAACTGCAGACAGAAATTAAACTTTTGTCCTTTTGTTGTTTATTCTCATTAATTCACCACTACTATGAAAAAGTTGTAACAGACAACTTACAATTAAAACTTGGCTAATTGTTATTTTCATTTTTATCTGTCACTAAAGCACATCATCTGTTCTTAGTGTGCTTGCACCAACAAGGTGTTTAGCGACGAGATTTTAACAAAACATTTTAGTACATACAATAGTATGTACAATACCAGTGCAGGGTGAGCTTAAAAAGTTTAGTGAATTGGTGGAGAAAAGAAAGGTTTCTGGAAGCCTCGTCAGAAATGCTGTCAGTGCAATGGTGGTTGTTAAGTAGAGGTTAAGATTATATCATATTATTTCAAGAAAATTAGAAATAATTTTGCTGATGCTATGGAAAAATATACCAAAGTTGTTTTATTGATGTTTGCAAAAAGAAACACAAGTGTGTGGCGATGAGCGAAATTATAGAGCACTAGAACTGATGAAGCATAATTCAAATATAAGCACAAATTAGGTAGTTTGAGTATCGTTTTCCCCAGAAATGTTTAAGTGAGAGTACAAAATAACAATTTAACACTTTAACAGTAACTGAAATAACTTCATAAATCATCAGGAATCTGCATGAAATCGTCACATAATAAAAAGCACTTTACACAACTTGCCTCGTTCACAACTATTTCTACTATAACTGCTTTCTATCTAACTTACATCCTCCCATGGATGCATCAGAGAGCAACTTGGGTTAGTAACTTGCCTGAGGATATTTGGCGTGCATACTGGAACAGCCAGGAATCGAACCACCAACCTTTCAATAAGCAGACGACCTGCTCTACTTCGTGAGCTACAGCCACCCTGAAGCTCATGTCAAGGTTGGAGCTTTTTAACCAGCAGCTTAAAGCTGCTTTTTCCACTATATAACTGCATCAGTAATTTCCATCCACTACTTACTTATCTTGTCATACGCAGTGCAGCTAGCGATTACACACCAATACTAGGCAGAGTCATTTGTTTACATTTGAGTCACACATCAGCAGCTGCTAATATCTCCTCTTTTATACCTGGTTGTAGTCAAAGATGTGTTTTTGGCTCCAGGGGTGGAACATGTCTGTTGGTTCCTCGATCACAGAGAACGATTTTCTTGCATATTTTGAAAAGCGTCGCGCTTTGCTGGAGGCTGTTGAAGTCGCTCTCTTTTTATGTGCTGATGCTTTTAGTGTGCCTGCTTGTGTTGGTATTTACCTACGAAGAGCACATTGATCCCAAAGGAGAGGTTTGTGATGTCCTTCAAGAACTCTGGAGAAGTACTGGGGAGTGCTTCAAGAAATTAAAAGAAAACTTAAGAGACTAAAGGCTGTGAAGGATAAAGGAGATCATGCCAAATATATCTGACTTGTTAGAATAAAACAAAAAGTAGAATTGCCTGATTACGCTGTGCTATCCCATCTATGTTTCCAGATGTTTCAGTACTTTTGCTGCACCTATTTTCCATCTGCTAGTAAAACATAAAGAGATGAAATGTGACTCAAGACGTTTCGACAGTAATGTATGTTCAGTACAACTTAAAGCTGGTATTTTTCTCAACTTTCAAACTAAAAATAAAACATGTCGTTTGGAATAAAGATGGTGGATTAGACTCCTGCCCTCCAGTAACAATGAAGTTCAGTTCTGTGTATATCCTGGGTGTCTCATACAGCAGTAAATGAACTCACAACCAAAACCATTCTGTCTAACAGGAGGCTGCGAATGGCAGAGGGGATGCTGGGAAAATGGAAGGGGCCAAGAAAGGATCCAAGTTATCTGTGGAGCGCGTGTACCAGAAGAAGACCCAGCTAGAGCACATCCTCCTCCGTCCAGACACGTACATTGGCTCTGTTGAGCCAATCACCCAGGTGGGTCCCAGGAGA